TACGCTAGTACGAGCCTGTTCATTGCATTCTTTATGATATTTGCTTTATTAGAATATTTTTATTCAAAAAATATATGTTTTTATGACCTATTCAATCTTATAGCAAACATAACTTACTTAAGTAAACATTGAAAGCAAAATGGCCATGAATTGCAATTGGGAGAAACTGTAATTTATACCTGGCCTACTCCGGGCCAGAAAATTGCCTTAAGTCGCCAAGGGACCCCACCTATAAATTATCATCCAAATTTCCTTAAGTCGCTTTAAGCTGCCACAGTGCCCCTCCCAATTTACCCTCACTTTTTCTCAAGTCGCCTTATAAGTTACGGCGACTTAAGACGACTTTCTGGCCCGGAGTAGGCCTTATACTGCTTACAACTCCTGCCATCAAGTCAGGTATTACTTTATAGATGGAGTGATATGTCAATGAGCGCAGAACTTATGAAAGCCGGTCTTAGATTACAGGCGTGGTTAACGTTATTACGGCYAAAAACACTTTCTCCATTTACAAAATRTCAGAAAAATTTATTCAAAATCTTAGCAAAACAAACAATACCTTAAGATCAAAAGGCGAGTTGAATTTTTCTATCCCATTCTAAATAATTCAATACAAGACTTCAGCCATATTATAATGAGGTTACTTTCTTCCTAATTGTGTAATACATAGTTACTAAGCTTATTTAAGGTCCATGGTCCACCAGCATGCAATACGGTCGTATTTTAAATTTTTCACTTATGGAAGCCCAGAGGAGGTAGCTCCAAAAATCATTTGCATTCAGATTCAGGCTCCGCTCGAGGGGGCGTTGCACACATCTCAAAAAGGAAGAAAAGTAAATACTGCAAGTTAAGATCTGTTAGTTTTTAGGGAYAATAAAGAGAAAGTTTTAGCTTATATTATGATTTAGTTATATTTTCAAMCCTAAACAAAAGCTTGAAAGGTATGCAAGTGGACCATGGCCCTTAAATGATATTGGACTACATTTAACATGACATATATTGCCTCAATTAGTACAAAGTTTTCACTCAAATGTTTTCCAATAATAATAGTTTTCCTTAAACAATATGATCAGCTAATCATTTTGCTTTTCTCTTAATAATAGCATAGCACTCTGAATAGCAACTAAAAATAAAATTTTCATGTTCTGGTAGTCGCATAAAATGACGCCATAGTACAAAATAATGCTTAATCATTTTTATAATCATAATAATGAAGATTGTTATTATAATTGTCAGTTAATGAGTTATTTATTATTATTAATAAGTATCAATGATTTTGAAATACAGGTGACAAAATGGCACCTGACCATAAAATTTATGTACAATTAAGATACTAGTATGTTATATAATTATGTATTTGGTATTTAAACAGATTCAGGTTTACACCTTTTTGTCAAAAACATTGACACAAATGAATATAAAGAACAACAGGACAATTTGCAGGGTTTTCTTATAGTGTTAACAATATTTAAGTAGATTGACAGACTTTCAGAAAAGACAGTTTTATGAACACTTTTAAAATGAAGAAATATCTAGAAAGCTCTAACAGCTAACAATTGCTCAACAAGTTTATTAAACTTTCTTTTCTTAAAATGTTCTGTATTTATTTCATTTGTGTCAAATCTTTTGAAAACAGTTGTTTAGCTTGTTATTGTCTTGTCATGTCACTGAAGCTATTTGATCAAAGTTGAGCATAAAAATGCAAATAATTAGTGTCGACAGTGTGTAGAGATTGACATATTATTCATATTATATTTGGTGTATTATCTGCCTTCCCAAGCTGCACTTTGGTGTTTGATTTCAAAGGAGAATGTATGATGGGAGTGAATGAATTAATTATCAAAAACATTGTTTCATTGATAGCTACCAGTACATAGTTAAAGTTGATAAAGATGAGTTGTAGGATGGTATGTACAATACATTATTCATTACAGTATCTGGATCCCTTACATAGTTTTCAAAAATAGCCCTCAGAATGGGCTAATAGTCCCCCACTACTAACTCTGGTTTGCGTTTTTTAGATTCTACCAAGTTTAGTAGAAACATAAACAACAAAGAGAGAGAACATGCTGGACAAATTTAGAAAACAAATTTTATAAACAGTAATATAGTAATACAGTAATATAGTAATTTCTGAAACTAAGCATGCATGAACAATTATCTCTTAGTTTGCTCAGCTTGATGTTTCACATTTTTGCAATATTTGCAATTATTGCAAGCTGTATTTTCAAGTTTTTTTTTTTGCTTTCACAAGCATAACTTACAATAGTATGTCCTTTAAGCACTCTTTTGTGTTTATTGAAGTTCAGTGCTGGAATCAGCCTTTTCACTCTTAAAGTATTTAATGCAGTTAACCTTGGATTAATGCTAATCAGGCTATGAACAACCCTTCAGGGATTCAATAATGAAGAAATTCTCATACCCAGGTCTTCTCAGATTCCTAATGGAAAATCCAAGGCTCTGGTTGTAGACTATAGCAGAAAACCCAGAATCTGGGACACAAGGTATAATTATAGGCATACTGATGGAACATGAGAATTTTTGAACCAATCAAATCAAAGACTCATTTGTTTACATACAGAGCCTTCAGTTTTCCATTGCATAAATAAGAAGAAATGAAATGGTTATTCTTTTATTCTAGAGAACATTTGCATTTATCCTGACCCAAACATCTATATAATGAGCTATGCTGATAATCTGTGAAGAGAGCTATTGGAATTATCAAGTTATAAGTGATGTGCAAACATGGTTATCAGCAGTTGCAGCAAGTTACTGAATACACTTTAAGCCAGTCTTATCAGTAGTGTATCAATATGTGACTTGTCATAGCTGCCAAGAGGAATGACAACMCTGCATTCTGATATAGTTAATCTGAATTGTTTTCATTCAGCCAACAAGSCTGCAATGGAKCTTATTGACAATGTTTATTCCATTKCAGACCACTTGGAAGTAGAATTCTTYGTTTTCYTGCCATTTATATTCAAGCATTGTCTCAAGTTTTGTTGGAAAAGAAAGAATTAAATATTGCAAGGGGGTCTAAACTGGAACAAACATTGCCTGAGCCAAGTATGTCTATTATAATAAACTTTTTATCAAATATTGTCTAATATTCCCTTCTAAAAATATTTATCCAACTAATACTTCCTAATGCTTATTTGCAGTACTAAGTCAGTATAACTGATCACTCTCAGTAGTGTCAAAGAACAAGATTTTACCTTGTAAGTATGAATAGTTAAGTGATCAAAGCTAATTTCTCTTCTCTAAAATTGAAGGAGAATTCAGCAGTTGATCAGTAGTTGATTACTGTACCCATATTAATCTTCCAAATACTTTTAGTTGATTTCTTGATAAAAATGTTTTCATATCTAAATTGTGATTCATGATGTCTTGCTATTTCCTATGATAAGAGTATTGCTTTGACATCCCATACCTTGAGAATAACAATTCAATTAATTATTTTTTTATATCTTCATTTTTTCATCTCACTTTCTGTTCTTCAATCCTTCTACTTATTTGTTCATTCATTTTCTCTATTTGTCCATTCATTCTTTGATCGATTCATTTATTAATCCATTAATATTTTTAACTTATCTATTGTTTTATTCATCAACCAATTCATTATTTAATAAATAAATAACTCATTCACTCATTTTTCAGCCATCCATTTTTTTCTTTATACAAGTATTTATTTGTTTTTCCATCCATATTTTTATCTATTTATTTATTCCCTCAAACCATGAACCTACCTTTACAACCCTATCACCTCCACATGTGAGCATTCTAGCTTTAGATAGATCCATATGCATGTACTTTATAGGATGTTTGCCATCATGAGGTATTGCTAGTGGTTCACGGCTATAGAAAAAAAAACCCAGAGCATTAAAGACATTTTTGCATCATATTTTCTGGATTTTGAATATTCTTAAAGAGGTTATAGTTACAAGACATGATTTCAGACGATCACAAGAAGAATATCTTGACAGGAATAAACAAAATTAAATCAGCAGTAAAAAAGAAAATGAAAAACAAAAATGATAGAAAAGAATGAAATGAAAAACAAAAATGAAATACAAAAGACAGAGGACATAAAAATGGAAGAAAATGGGAAGAGAGAAAATAAATCAAAGTAAAACAAAACTAAGACATGAAAATTAAATGGAAATTAAAGGAGAAGATGGAGAGGCTGGGTAGTACATAGAATTAGAAGAGCTAGGAAGAAAGAGATATAAAAGACAAAGAATAACAGCTATGACTTACTCTTCGTCAGTGATAGTTTCATAACATTCATTACAACATCGTACAGGATATTCAAACCCCATGATTGGTAAACTGGATTGTTTCTCACTACATGTATTGCAAACTGCACGACCACACTTGCGACAATGATGCTGAAAAAAAAGGAAAATAAAAATGATATATCACCGCTAGGGAAGGCATACATTCCTCAAGCTAAAGCGGGAAATGGAATCTATTTAATAGTGATTACCTGTCGCACACCAACAGTTTTTTTATTCCACATATCTTTGAAGTTCCAAAAAAATGGGCCACCACATCTTTCACAAACATCACACTGGGACCACTCTGGGGTCTGTAAACAGATCAAAATTGAYATTAAWTTTGTGATGAGACAATTTACTAAACAAACCTAGTTAACTGTTTGATCTAATTATATTATAAAAACACCTCTTTTCTTGTTTTTTCCATATCCCAAACCATGATTGCACCATCTTCACTGCATGAAAACAGCTTCTTGGAGTGTGAAGCATAGCTCAASGCTTGTATTTTTGACCTTGAAGAAAAAATAAATAAATAAATAAAAACAAGATAATATATTAAGCTGCATTTATTTGAAACCATAAATGTTTAATGCTTTTGGGTTTTGGTATATTCTATGAAGTCAATCAAGATAGAAAAAGGCACAGGACACACAAACACCAAACATACATATGGTAGAAAAAAGGAACAACAATGGCAGGAGAAAAACACAACACAACATTTCAAGTAGGCAAGTAAGAGTTCTTGATGAAAGCCATAAAATACAATCTTACAAATGTCCTTGGAGTTCAAATGCTGTGCCCTGCTGTCCACCAATGTCCCATATTATGATAGATTGATCAAAACTCCCTGAAAATAACATCTTTTTCTCTGGATCCCAAGCAAGGCCACCRATACTCCCTGAAACCCAACCAAAGAATGACAGTTGATTGCTTAAMAATGGTCCAAGCCTCCAACACTAGAAAAAAATTGTAATTGGGSCCCCAATGTTTGTAAGATGTAACAGAGACATGAATTCTGATTCATAGTTTCCAATCTCCAAGGCCCTATGTGTCACACGGCACAAGGAGGACAGGTGACAGGTAACAGTTTCCAATCTATACGTTTCAGCAAGGAGCTTGCCAACACTGTAAACCCTTATTTATGTGCTCACTTTCATGGCAAAAACACAGTCTAGATCTATATGTTCAAGCTAACTATTCAGGTTGCATATCACTTACAGAATGTCCTCAAACATGAATTTATTCTTGAAACACAACCATAGTCGATTTAAGCAGAAAACAACAAAACAGYACATCAGTCAGGGAAAATCTACAAGTATACCTGAGTGRCCTTTGAGYGTTGTAACCAGAGATAGAGAATTGTCTTCRACCTTTAAAATATTAATATGACCAGCATAGTCACCAATAAAAATATGCTTTGATTCAGCGTCAAATCTGAAGAAGAAAGTCAAGGAAAACATATGGGGTTTCTTGAAGCTTTTACTGAAGTAGATTTTGTGCCATGGATCACAGCCAGGCTACATATAACCTTGCCTGTTAGAGATGTTAAATTAAAAAATAAATAAATAGAAATGAATAAATAAATGAAATACAGAATCAGTGCTGCATATTTAGTGAACTAATATCAAATACAATCACACAGGTCAAATGCAACAAATGAGTAGCCAATGTATATGAAAAAGAAGTAAGCCAATCAAAATTCATCTTTGACTAATAGGTTCCAGGTCTTTTCTCCTTTCAAAAGAATGGCTCTAGGATTAATGAGATTGTTTTTGATAATACAATTTAAAAGGATACTGCATTGATGTACACCAAGCGTCMGACTGATATCCTCCAATTCTCTTTCCATTTGATGTGTCATGAAGCTGGAAGTATTTATCCCTTCCAATGCTTAACAACCATTCGTATTCAAGTGAAAAACAAATTCCAGTAACTACACTCATATGAGCTGAAAAATGAACCATCAAAAGAATAAAAATTCAGACAAATACATCACAAGCAATAYGATAAGAATAATAGATTGTAATTTATAATTATTAAGTACTTGATTCTTGTTCATATAGGCCTGAGAGGATGCTTTCAGTA